CGGCGGCCACCTGCAGCTTCCTCTTCCCAAAATGGCTGCACCCCTCACCACCACCTGGAGAGAAAGAGGGCAGATCACATCTGTGTGCACTGTAAGTTTTTATTCATTCTGCATTACATCTGCTGACTTCTGTACTGTGCGTCACACCCTGACCTCTGCACTGTGCGTCACACCCTGACCTCTGTTCTCTGTGTCACAACCTGACCTCTGCACTGTGCATCACACACTGACCTTTGCACTGTGCGTCACACCTTGATCTCTGTACTGTGCGTCACACCCTGACCTTTGTACTGTGCGTGACACCCTGACCTCTGTACTGTGCGTGACATCCTGACCTCTGTACTGTGCGTGACACCCTGACCTCTGTACTGTGCGTGACACCCTGACCTCTGTACTGTGCGTGACACCCTGACCTCTGCACTCTGCGATACACCGCTGACCTCTGCACTCTGCGTTACACCCTGACTTCTGTACTCTGCCTTACAACTGACCTCTGCAGCTCGGAAATAAACATTTTAAAATTGATTCAGCTGCTTTAGGTCCTGCGCAGCAGCCTTCTGTGGAACCACCCGGCACCTGCTTACATCGCTTTTGCCGCCCGCACATCTCCCCCTCCTGAGACCCTCCGCACCCCTCCTGAGACCCTACAAGACATCAGGCCGGCATTCCAGAGCAAAGAGGCAGAACAGAGTATGTACCAAATTCATATACTATTATTCTGCATTGCTTTATAATGTATTGCTGGGATTTGTAGTCCTCTACAGATGATGGCATTCTGCATTAGAGTGTATGCGCAGCAGCCTTCTGTGGAACCACCCGGCACCTGCTTACATCGCTTTTGCCGCCCGCACATCTCCCCCTCCTGAGACCCTCCGCACCCCTCCTGAGACCCTACAAGACATCAGGCCGGCATTCCAGAGCAAAGAGGCAGAACAGAGTATGTACCAAATTCATATACTATTATTCTGCATTGCTTTATAATGTATTGCTGGGATTTGTAGTCCTCTACAGATGATGGCATTCTGCATTAGAGTGTAAGCTCCTCTGTACAGAGACTGCTGTGACTGGTTCAGTGTTCGCTGTGTAGTACTACGGTATATGTCAGAGCTCTATGAATGCAAAATAATAGTGTGTGACTGTGGGGCGACATTAGATTGTAAGCTCCTTTAGTGCAGAGATAGCTGAGGGGGTTAGGGGACCAGTGAGATCCCAGATCCAGGGCCCTTTATTCCTTAGGTATGATTGCTTGTGAGACATTTCGGGCTGTGCAGGTGTTCTATCAAAGTTTGTGACTGCGTTAGAATGTGTGACTGGTGACATGGTCACACATTTTAACGTAATCACCCCCACTTTTTCAACGATGGAATATGTGACCGCCAAAGCATGAAGAATTCCAATCAGGGGCGTCCCGAGGCTGGGTGACACCCGGAGCGGTGTCCGAGTGTCACCGCGCATGTGCGCGATGACGTCATCGCGCACGCGCGGAAGTATTCTGGTACCTGCCGGCGCCCATCTTGGTGATGGACGCAGGCAGAGAGAGGAGTAGACAGCCACCCGGCGGGATAAGGTATGCCGCCAGGTCCCCTCCTCTCTCCTGATACTGTCGGGCGTTCGGTCCATGACCGAGCGCCCGACTTTTCAGAGGGGGGTGACACCAAAATGACGCCACTGATTCCAATGCTTCCTCAGCTGTTCCAGGGCAGATCGGCATCGCAGATGGTATGTGGAGGAGAACGGTTCTGCCCCGGAACAGCTGATCGGTCCTGAAATGTCACTTCAAACCGACTCTGTGGAATGTGAGATCGCAGTCACAAAGTCACATTTAAGGACCCATCAGCTGTTCCAGCGCAGATCAGTTCTCCTGCACATAGGATCTGCGATGCCGATCTGCCCTGGAACAGCTGAGAAAGCGTTGGAATTCTTCACCTTTTGCCGGTCACACATTCCACCACCGAAAAAGTGGGCGTAATTACGTTAAAATGTGTGACCACGTGACCGGTCACAATCTTTGATGGAACACAGGACCCCTTCATCGGGTATGTGATGATTGTGATATGAAGGGGCTTGTATATGTATAGCTTGATACAACATGACACTTTTACATCGCACTTTGCAAGCCTTTTCTCTTGTATTGCCATAACACAGCCTGCTGCAGCCTAATGATAAAATGCCCACGTAGTCTGCAGCCTCTATTTTTAATAGCCTCGTGTCAGCCGCTGCTGCTGAATTAACCACATTTGGAGAAAAATCTGTCAGCACAATTGCGCAGCAATTCAGCATTTTCTCTAATCATGGCCTGTTTTCCCCCAAAATCCTCTGCAGTGTGTACCCTGGCTAGACGCCAGCGACAGGCACACTAGACCGCCCTACAGCGGAGTTTCTGAGAAACGGGACACCTTGTGACGGGCAGGACCATGGGAGGGGCCAGAGTGACAGCTGAGGCGGGGCCAGGCCGCAGCTCAAACAAAGAGGTGGGATCTATGTCATCATTGAAAACATAAGGGGCGGGGTCGGACTGCACTGCTGGCAGAAAGGGCGGGACTAGGCCGTGGCGATACCAGAAGAGGCGGGGTCGGGTTGCATTGCTCACAGAAAGGGCGGTGCTAGGCCGCGATTATACCAGAAGGGGCGGGACTAAGCCCGCGGCGATAACCGAAGGGGCGGGGCCGGGCTGCTGTGCTGACACCTTTCGAAACAGATTTAAGGAAGACTCGCAGCGCTTGGCTGTGTATATTTAGAAAGCATAGAGCTACTGCGCTTCCTGTCTGATGATTGATCATGTACACAATTTAACAATACGATCTACACACACACGGCTCTCTGGCAACTTGGGAGGACTCAGAGATGGCTAGATGTCAGTGGAGATCTCCTGGACATAACAGGTTCTCTTTCATGTCTTTCAGCTGTCACTCTTCTGTTATCTTTCAGTAGATGGTGTATCCGGTGTTATTCGCTCTCGGTGAATAATGTAGATTTGCTCTATTCCTCTTTGCTGTAACTGACCGGTTAGTGTATAGAGCTGGAGCAAGTGGTTAGACCGGAAGGCACAGATTAGCCTGCCTGGAGGCATCCATATACAGAGGAGGATTAGGCTAGGGAATACTGTAGGGCAGTATGAAGCACCCTGTAAACTGCTGGTGACGAAAGGTGAGAAGTTGCGGCAGGGAAATGATGTGCAAAATTGTCATTTAAAAAGTTGCAAGTTGTGACAAATGATCTACTATGTTGTAGTAAGCTTAGTTTCTAAGTCGTCCTGTGCCACCTACTGCTTGGAGCACTAGTGTTTATGTGCGTAACATAACATTCTACACCTTTTGCTGGTCACATATTTTAACTCCGGAAAAAATTGGTGTGACTACGTTAAAATGTCACACATTCCAACCCAGTCACATTCTTTCATAGAACAGGGGCTTGGTGGTAACCAAGTTCATGATCCATGTCCATGCAAAACTCTCACTGGCACACCCCACTCCTGCCCCAATTAGTTGTGGCAGGGGCATCCCCTTCCTCTTTGTGACACACAGCTGATTGGATCAGGAGGAGGGGGTGTCATTGTCTGTGTGAACTCGTTTGAAATTAATTCACACCTTTGCAAATCACTACTGACAACGTGGCTAGTAACCGTAAGGTAGCAGCTTAATGTTGTCAGCCCGCAACAGGAAGTGCTGTTACTGGGTGGATCTCCAGGTAAGAAACTTTGCAACAGATAATTTTCAAAGAAGAACTCCGAGCATAGTTATCCTTAAGTCCCGTCCACAGCTGTTGGCGTGAGAATTTTGAGACTGCCCTAAACACAAGTGTGAATAGGGCTTTAGTTTAGGTTTTGGTCTTAGCAGCAAATTCGCTTTAAAAAAATAATAATTCTGATCTTTTTTAATCTGGTTTCTTTTGAGTGCAAAACAGATCATATCTTTTTTGCTGTGACAATAGTGACGTTCCTCTGTAAACTATAAAATGATAAATGTAGGTGAAGTTACAGTTCTGGCACACTCTGCTATGGTCACTGGTAAGTGATACCGGGCAAGGTGACCAGGTATGGAGAAGCCATACGAGTGTTAGTTGTATGACACAAGAGCCTGGAATCATTGACATACCGCCACTAACACTGTAAATACTCATACAGGCTCTGTGCTCAGCTCAGCTAACAGACCAGAAACCAGTCCGCATGGATCTGACTTCTCCTGCGCCAAGCAACGTTCCGCCTGTGATGGTATGATGAGCGGAAAGGACAGGGCTGTGTGGTCGGCAAGTGACAACGGCGAGCCAATAGTCACCTTACATGCAGGTGGGTTGTCTGATGTTAATATGTACAAATAAAATGTTGTTTGAATGCTTTCTACAAGATGAATTTTAGACTTGTGCCATTCATTCTGAGTACTGGTCAGAACAAATTATACTCAGTGGTCACATGGTAAATGATTCTACATAGATAATATATTATTCTCAACAGTTAGATGGTAAAATTGATAAATTACTAATCCAGCTGCTCTTTCAAGCAAACAACAGATTAAATACATGCACAGGGGCTATTTTACATACCAAAAGTTCTGCATTTATGTCCATCCAGTTCTGAGATTTATTCAGGCACCCCCAAGCAGCACAGCAAGGTGAATGACACCGTTTTCAGGTAAACCTGTTGAATGGACAGGGAAAGAACAGAAGCAGACTGACAAGGTCATCCTTCTACTCACTCTGTTCTGTCCTCCTATTAGCATATTGCTTGTCAACATGTTTGCATGCAGCACACTCTATTGACTTTGGGCCCTGCCCTTCTTCCTCTTACCAGTTGAAATGCGGTATATGGGATTAAAGAAGCCGATAACACGTCTAATTCAGAACTTACTTTAGTTGCATTTAAATAAATAAATATAATGATTTATTCATGAACCATGGCTGCATTCATTTGTATCTTCTACAGCAGCGGTCGCCAACCTTTCGGACCTCATTGACCACTAAATTCATCATTTTAAATCCCGCGGACCACTAATATGAATTTTTTATAAACAGTATATATACACATACATACATAGGTGCAAGTGTGCCTGCAGGAGTGGCAGTGCTGGTGGAGGGAGAGAGTGGTGCCGCCCGGTCCAGTAATAATATTAATTGTTCCCCCTCCTATCGAATCTGCCACTGGCCCTGCCAGCGGCGCCCGGGGCACATGCCCCCCCCTAGCTTTAGCACTGCACCCAACCACCCCCGTGCCTCCCCTTCCCCTACACTGTGCCAATATTACTTGGCTTCTCCCCACTTCGTCCGCGCATTCCTTGTGACAGCCGCTGCTTGAGTTAGTGAGAGGCAGCCCCGGAGCCTCCATGCCGCTTCAATGAGGGCCCAGCCTGCACGGCATCAGAGGGGCCTGGGGGGCAATTGCGGACCACCAAAACTTTCTCACGGACCACCAGTGGTCCGGGAACCACTGGTTGGTGACCTCTGTTCTACAGTATATCTGCATGGAGTTCAGCTCCAAAGTACAACTGAAGCCCAAACTTTTTTTTCTTGCTGTCTGTGTCCCCGTTAGGGAGAGCATGCACAGATGTCCTGCTGCACTCCCTAACGGATATCCCAAAACAAGTAAGATACATGAAGTGACCATGGATGGTGCCGCTTGGATCAGAACTTGATAGCAATGTCACCAGCACACCAAAATAAAGTGTCCAAACAAAGTCTCTATTCATTGACACTAGAGGTGCACCAAATTAAAATTCCAAAACCGAAACGCAACCGAAAAAAAAAAACCTCAGGCCAAAACCAAAACTGAAAATGTTTTTTATTTTAACTTTTTCAGATTTTTTCAAATAATTTTTTATATTTATTTTTATTTCTTAATTTTTTATTAAATATTTTTATTTTTTACTTTACTTTTAGGGGCTTTGGGGAAATATTAGGGGACTAAATAGACCCCCGACATTTCCCTTTTAAAATAGAAAAAGAAATTGAGGACACAGAGTCCTCAATCTCTTTTTCTGCAGCCCCTGTTATAAATGAACAGGAATCCTCTATTAGTGTTCCTGTTCATTCATAACATGAGAACATAGTGGGTGAAATTTATTATAGTAATTTAATTACGAGTGTTTGAACTTGCACGGAATATATTTGATGCACTTTGCTCCGGATTTATGTTGCTAGTGTAATGTTGTTGATAAATGAGGTTAAATAGACTCCAGGAAAGAAGACTCGTAACTCCAGGAAAAAAGCTGAACTGTCACTTCTTGAAGAAGTGGTCATGGGGACTTCTTAAGTTGTGATTGCTTTGTTAGGTGATGCTCCAGTTTCAGACAGCCTCAGAACAAGTGCAGATGAAAACAAGTGCAAAACACATGCAGTTGAAAGTAGTGCAAGCTCTGATGAAAACGGGTGCAAAAAAGGTGCAAAACACGTGCAGTTGAAAAAGTAGTGCAAGCTCAGGTCAAAACAGGGGTACAAGTTGAAAGACAGATTTGCACATTCAAAAAATGATCTAAGAGGCTAAAACTGTCGCAATTGCTTTGATAAATTCCCCTCTGTGTGTTTACTATAGCCACAATCATGAATGAACAGGAGGAGATGTAGATCACTTCCCATTCATTCATAATTGAGGAAATAGTCATGGGCACTTTTCACCCAAAAAAATGGGCTGAAAATCTCGGCTTATACTAGAGTATATACGGTACTCTGCCCTCAATTATTTACAACAATTATTTACAAATTATTTACAAACACTCAGCGATCACTAATCGCTGATTGCTTGTACTGCTCTGCTTCCTGACTCCCTGTCACAAAAGTGCCATTTTCAGCCGATATGTTTCGGCGGCCGATATATCGGTGCATTCCTCATTGACACATATTGTTGCGCTTGACAATAAGCATCAAAAAGTAGACGTTTTGTTTGGACACTTTATTTTGGTGTGCTGGTGACATTGCTATCAAGTCTTGTTAGGGAGATTCACACTCTCTATTTATCCTGGTGACAGTTTTCAATGAGAGTCAAAGTAAAAGGAAAATCCCATATTTTGGGTTGTCATCAGAACAGGAATAGATGGGGAATCTTCCAATTGGGACACTAGTTCTGGTGACCCTGCTGACCACCAGGGAATTCCTCTCACTTAGTGTTGTAGTTCTTGGGACAGGGAGTAAAGGTAAATACTCCCGATGGGACACAGATGGCAAAAAAATCAGGTTATAACCATACCTTTCTCTATCCAAAACTAAAAACAACGTTTTGGCTTCAGTTTTACATGGCTTCAGCATGTTGCTGTGATTATCTTTAGAGACGAGTCAAATTCACCACTTGTTACCTAAGAAGGCCCCAGCTATGCTTATAGAGAGAAATTTGAAGACACAGTCTTTGGTCTCAATGCATTCCGAGTCACTAACCTATAATAGTTATTTAGCTAGTGAAGTCAGAATTCCAAATTTGCATACTTGTTCAGGGTCAGTAACTTACTTATTGAAGCCAGGGAATGATTATGACAGTCAGGCAGCTAGAATTTTCAGAACAACATGTTTCCCTCAAGACAGGTTTCTTTGACAAGTTTGTGCACTTGAACACTTGTGTTAGTACTGAGTTGCACTGCAATCAGTATCAGGTAAGATAAGACTGGGATAGTACTTAATTGAGGAAAGTGTGGACTGCATGTTCCATTTACACATGGGTAGACTCATCACCGTAGGAACATGGGCTCTCCACATACTACCGTAGCCCTCCGCCAATCACATGTACCTCCTTTAAAAGATAACTAACATTTTGTATAAATAAAAAATAAGCTGGGCTGTACACAGTTCATAACATAGTTACATAGTTACATAGTATTTGGGGTTGAATAAAGACATACGTCCATCAAGTCCAACCCATATAGGTCCACGCATCATCTCATTCTTAGGGATACTGGTTTCCCTGGATATTACGGTCCCTCAAGAAATTGTCCAAACGTTTCTTGAACAAATCTACACTCTTGGCTGAAATCACTGCCGATGGCAGTGAGTTCCAGACCTTAACCGCTCTTACTGTAAAGAACCCTCTTCGCCCATTGTGCTGGAATTTTTTCTCCACCAACTTTAGGTGGTGGCCTCTAGTCTTTGTAATGGAGTTAATCTCAAACAGTTTGTTGCCAATGTTGCTGTTACCAATGAACATCTTGTACATGAAAATCATATCCCCCCTTAATCTCCTTAATTCCAGCGTAAACATGTTTAAGGTCGGAAGCCTTGTCTCATATCTCTGGTCCTCCATTCCCCTAATTAGTTTTGTTGCCCTCCGCTGGACTCTCTCCAGTTCAAGGACATCCCTTCTCAGTACCGGCGACCAAAACTGGACCGCGTACTCCAGATGTGGCCGAACCAACGATCTATATAGAGGCACAATTATAGACTTGTCCCTGCAATACATCCCCTTCTTAATACAGGACAAGACCCTGCTAGCTTTGTTTACCGCAGCTTGGCACGGAAGTGAAGGAGGCTCGTGATTTAAAAGGGGAACTCTGATGTGAAAGCGTGATATAAAAGTGCGGCTTCTGATCTGAGGGGGGAATCTTGATTTTAGGGGCACTTCAATGTGAAGGGGGAAACCCACTTTTTTTGTGTGTTTTTGCGTGGGGGTCCCCCTTAAAATTGATGGCATTTTAGACTGGGGTGCCTCGAGAATTTACATACTTTTAAAGGGTGCCACGACTAAAAAAAGGTTGAGAAACACTGCTCTAAACTACAGGGGGTCAAGCTAGGCATGTGTGAAGCAATAAACATGAGAGCGATCTCAGGTTAGGTCAGGTGCTCTTTCCACTTTCAAGGTCAGACAGTTGCATTATACTCCTCCACGGTTCCTCTGTTGTACAGTGACGCCAAACACAGTGTAAATATGAGGATATAAAGCATATCTCCCAGAGTGTAACCCATAAATCATTTATTTTAATAAATACATGACTCAGTAAAACATACATATTAGTTTCAGTAGTTCAGCTTATAATTCAGTGTCCTGTATCACTCCAGCTAGCTCCATCCAATGTGTTTAGGCTGAGGAGTGCTAAATTATATAATTATGCTTTAAGGTACCTCCCACCTCCCCCTGCTGCCCCTAAAGTCTTATGTTCACCTGTCCACTCAGCTAATAATTCCGTACTGTGTGGCCTTTGTGAGAACCTGAACAAAATGCATGGGCAGGACCTAACATGTGGGAATTTACCCCAGATGCTGGAAATTCCAGAGACTGTAAACATCCCAAGCCTTGGTCAGGTTGCAGCATTGAAAAAGTAAGTTTGCCTCCATCTAAGGCCTGTTATTACATGTAATAAGATAAGATAGAATGGGATACATAGTTTTGGTTGCAACTGTAGTTACCCAAAAAAGCTAAACCACAGGCAGATATAAGAGACACAAATGACTACAGCCCTGGATTCAACAATACATCATTAAATGTATTTTTTTAATGCAGCCGGTGTAAGTACCTGAATGTGACATGGTATCAGCCTCTTGCAGTCCCTGTAGAGCAGAACTCAGCCTGTGGATGGCACAAGGATCACAAAGAGCCAGTTAGTTGTGCTGCAGTGCTCGTGCTAACTAGGAACAGGCTGATAGGAGGAAGGAGCAAAGTGACAGAGCGCTCATCAGTCTACTTCTCCTTCAGTGTCCAATCATAGCCTGGAGGAGGGTCAAGACATCTCAATGCTACTTTACTACAGCAAAGAAGAAAGCGGTCTTCTGCCCTACAAGACAGCGCTGTGCTGTGTGGAAGGCCTGTAAATCTCAGGGCTTGATAGATAATATACAGATCTTTTGGCAGTATAAACAGCTACCTTATATGTTTTTCATCCCTTTATTTAGCTATCTGCCTGCCAATATATAAAATTATAGTAGTTACTAAGTACCATGTTGTTGAGCTTTATCTCATGCATACTAAAGGTGGCCATACACTTTACAACCCTCGCAAGACTTTTGTCTTGCGAGGGTTGTAAAGTACTGCAAAAAACGTACGATCTGCCCATCTTGGACAGGCAGATCGTACTTGCGATCATCGCAAGCCCGCCCCCCTGAGGGGCGGGCTTACGATGACTGCAATGAGGGGCGGGCTTACGATGACTGCAAACAGGCTTTTTCTACTGTACGGTCGCACGTCTTCCGTCGAACCAGCATGCTAGAAAACCCACCGGGAATCGTACGATTCTTGGCGAGTTAGTGGCCTGCTGGTTCGACAACTGCCGAACGGGCCGGTGTGCACACGCGCACACTGCCCGTTTGCAGTCATCGTAAGCCCGGCCCTCATTACAGTCATCGTAAGCCCGGCCCTCATTACAGTCATCGTAAGCCCGCCCCTCAGGGGGGCGGGCTTGCGATGATCGCAAGTACGATCTGCCTGTCCAAGATGGGCAGATCGTACGTTTTTTGAAGTACTTTACAACCCTCGCAAGACAAAAGTCTTGCGAGGGTTGTAAAGTGTATGGGCACCTTAACTCGCCGAGAATCGTACGATTCCTGGCGGGTTTTCTAGCCTGCTGGTTCGACGGAAGACGTGCGACCGTACAGTAGAAACGGTCGCACGCCTTCCATACACTGCACGATTCTCGTACGAGAATCGTGCAGTGTATAGGCACCTTAAGGCTGAAGAAACATCTTGCGAATAACCCAAGCAATTGTAATCAATATTACCTACTAGTTCTTATTAAACTTCACAGGAGGGTCTAATTTCCAAATCTTGCCCGGCAACCTGGACAAGCTAAAGCTCTGACCTTTCCTTTGTGCAGGTTTATACAACGGACGATTATTGACTGTTCTGCCTTGCACACCAGGAGTTGAACGCACTGAGCAATGCCTGCAACGCCTCCAGGACTGCGGTATACAGGTGATTAGTGGTCCGCATGGAAAACTGTAGGGGAATATTTTGTTGATGTTCTTATGTTTCTATCTTGTTTTCATGAAAGTGACTTAAATCTCTATAGGTTGAACTCAATGGACTTGTGTCTTTTTTCAACCTGACTAACTATGTAGCTACATATGTAACTATATCAATTTAAAGTGTCTGCAAACTCCAAAAATTCTTCTTGACATGCTAAGCTTTTCTTATGTTATTCTTTATACATCTAGCGAATATTGTTTTGTAACAATATATATGTAACAGTGAGAAATAACCGTGGATCCTGCCAGTTTCCCTTTCTTCCTGTAACATGCGACTACGTTGCCTGCAGGCTTACTTCATGCTGAGCATAGTTGCATGCTCATTTTATGTATTTTATCAAAGCCATGACTATGTAGGGTGTCCTCTTCTCACACAGAGGCTGTGTGCGGTGAAATTAGAGTAAGCAATTTCAGTACAGAAGAGGAGCCTGTACATCTGTGCAAGACTGAAGTTTAAGCTGGCCATACACTGGTCAGATTTACCCCCATTTTTTCTATCAACTATTTCAATTCAATCAACTTCTGTCTGCTATAGCGCTGTCACAGGACTGGCCAGTGCAGCCATTTGACGTCTAACATGTTGTCAGCCTGAGGCATTGTTATGAGGCACGATAATTAACAGATTATGCATGGAATGCAGTTAAACTTATAGCAAAACTCCAGGCAACATGCACTGCAAGGGTTAACTACTTGTTTTCATCTAGGTCAGGGGTAGGCAACCGTGGCTCTCCAAAATGGGGGGAAAAAAACGTGGGGTCACCACTAAAATTCTATACCAGACCTTTGATCCGAGCACAGGCCTGGCAGGGCAGTCATACCAGGCCACATGCCCTCGGCACCGGGAGGGTGCTTTTCCAGGGTTGCCCCTGGAAAAGCACCTTGTCTCTGTGCCGATGGGGACAAGGGCCTCTTCTCCACAAGCCCTGAGTCGATGGTTGTGGGGGTGCGGGCAGGGGGCTTATTCACATCAGGGTACCCCTTCAATAAAGTAACCCCTTGTGAATGAGTAAGGGGTACTTGTACCCCTACCCATTCACTAAAGGGTTTAATTAAAGTTTTAAAAAAGAGGCCAGACGTTTGAAAAAATCCTTTAATTGAAAAAAAAACAACAAGACATGTTTTTGTCAAGTCTTTTATTTAAAAAAAAACAAAACCCTAAAAAATCGATCCACCAACATAATCCAGGATCAATCACGACATCCAGCATTGTCCACGACAACAACGTCTCGGCTAAATAAAAAATAAAACAAGAAAAATAAATAGAAAAAAAAAAAGCCACGGCCTGCCGACCGGTCCACTTGCGATGAACTCCTGCCGCAGAATGGCGTTCTGACAGATGCCGGCAACATATAGACAATTGGGCAGGGCTAGAGGTTACAGCTAGCTCTGCCCAAATGTTTACATTTGTACGTCACCTGACAGGGGAGCCATGATTGGGCAAAGTCATCATTACTTTGCCCAATCATGGCTCTTACAGAGTACTGCGCCCTGATTGGGCAAAGTCTTGTACCTGCCCTGTGTTCAGTTGTAAGGTTTTAACCAATCAGGGCTTCACAAGGCACTGTGCAGTGTGCAGTGCGTTGTGGGGCGTTCGCCCGCCGAACGCACTGATAGTGTGTTTGTCAAACACACAAACTGCCGATGTTTGAGTCGAACTCTTTCTCGACTCGAACATCGAGCATATCCCTAATAATAAACAAATGTAGGTGTTTCTACACACATGGTGGTAGTCTTCCTAGGCTCATGAAGTGAGGCCTTAACAGAAGTAGGTTTATTGCTGTCACTCTGGATAAACAGCTTATGAAAATGTATTAAAAGATAACTACACTTTTAGTGCACTTATCCTTTATTGCACCCCTTTCCCTAACATTTCATAATAGATCATACTTATCTAGGGTCCTCAGGTCTTCACTGTGCGACCTGCCCAGAATCTTAAAGTGCATCTAAGCCTGATCTCATGCATCACAAGGGTTATGAAGCAATGTGAGCGTGACAACTGGTGGTTATATGTTATGAAGAGCATCTTATCCAAGCCAGAGCAGTAGTTGAGGCAATTAAGAGACGACTTCTGATAGCTCTGTGCTCTACCATAGTGAAAAAACTCAATAGTTTGTGATGAGTCCTGTCATGACCATCTTCTCCTTTTTCAGCTCCCTGCGGAACAATGCAGACACTCTCTACAGATCCCTGCACTCATCCCAGAGGTCCACAGATACATTTTCTTCAGCTCTCGAGGTTTTGGAATAATTCTGGCCCTGGTGAGCATGTAATATGTGTTATTCTGACAACATGCAACATTTCTACCCTAATGAAGCAGAAGATATGAGTTATCACCCTGCCATCCTGCTGATTGCTTTTCTAAAGATAGCAGCAGACAGATACAGACACCTGCAGCATATAATTCTAAGAACTATTATTTATTTGAGATTGTTTTTTTATTATTGGTTCCCTGGAGTAACTCCTAATGGTTGAAGTGCCTCCCCCCCCCTCTTTCTGAAAAATAGGCATGGCAAGCATGCTTGGGTCATCCAAGTACTGCATGTACACTATATTGCGAAAAGTATTGGGATGCCTGCCCCTACACGCACATGAACTTTAATGGCATCCCAGTCTTAGTCCGTAGGGTTCAATATTGAGTTGGCCCACCCTTTGCAGCTTAACAGCTTCAACTTATCTGGGAAGGCGTCCACAAGGTTTAAGAGTGTGTGTATGGGAATGTTTGACCATTCTTCCAGAAGCACATTTGTGAGGTCAGGTATTGATGTTGGACGAGAAGGCCGGGCTCGCAGTCTCCGCTCTAATTCATCCCGAAGGTGTTCTATCGGGTTGAGGTCTGTGCAGGCCAATCAAGTTCTTCCACCCCAAACTCGCTCATCCATGTCTTTATGGACCTTGCTTTGTGCACTGGTGCGCAGTCATGTTGGAACAGGAAGAGGCCATCCCCAAACTCTTTCCACAAAGTTGGGAGCATGAAATTGTCCAAAATGTCTTGGTATGCTGATGCCTTAAGAGTTCCCTTCACTGGAACCAAGGGGCCAAGCCCAACCCCTGAGAAACAACCCCACACCATAATCCCCCCTCCACCAAACTTGGCACAAGGCAGTCAGGCAAGTACAGTTCTCCTGGCAACCGCCAACCCAGACACATCCATTGGATTGCCAGACAGAGAAGCATGATTCGTCACTTCAGAGAACACATCTCCACTTCTCTATAGTCCAGTGGTGGCGTGCTTTACACCACTGCATCCGACGCTTTGCATTGCACTTGGTGATGTAAGGCTTGGATGCAGCTGCTCGGCCATGGAAACCCATTCCATGAAGCTCTGTTGTTGTGCCAATCTGAAGTTTGGAGGTCTATTGACTCTGCAGACAGTTGGCGACTTCTGTGCATTGTGCGCTTCAGCATGCGCTGACCCCGCTCTGTCATTTTACGTGGCCTACCACTTCGTGGCTGAGTTGCTGTTG